TCAAACCCAAACCTCCATGATACAGAAGCTTTTAACTTCATCACACGCCACCAAGTGATACTTTTTTCTATCCTTCCAATCACTTTATAAGAACTTATATTGAATTGATTCTGTACTCTTGGCTACAGTCGCTGAAATTTTAAAAAGGAAGATGAAATAAATGAGGATATTGGTCATTGTGCTTTTATTAGTATGTGTCTCCTCTCCTTTATATAAGAGGTTTTTCTTCCATCCTTGCCAATTTTCTCTTAGACCTCACCACCAGAGGGTCCCAAGTTGTGTTACATCTTTCTATTTAACCCCCAATGGTTTACCAAAGTACTTAATCAACAACTCCATGCTTTTTTAAAGAAATCTTATTACTTTCATTTGGCAAAGAGTGGAAGAATCAATTAGAACTTCCCATAGGAACAAATACTTTAAGATCAATACTTCACCTAGAGTAGTTTCTTTTACTTGGGAAGCGGCAAGAGGTTGTATTTTAACTATAGACAACCTAATTAAAGAAAAGAGAGTTATCGTGAACAAGTGCTACTTGTGCAAGAAAGCTGCAAAGTCTCAACAATCATCTTCTCTTATTAGCTTTGGTCTATGGTCTATAATCTTCTGGAGGTAAATCAGGCGATGGCTGGTTATGTGAAAGAGAAGCTCTGTGCATGGAGAGAAAACCATGGGTATAAGGTGCTAGCATAAGAATGTAGGTTTTATCTCTCTAGCTACCTTATAGGTCATTTGGAAGGAAACTGAAGTGCTATTGAGGGAATAAATTTAGTTTTCATAGAATTACATTTGGGCCCATATTCTAGGCTTTTGCTTAAGGGTTATTCTCTTTATACTCGTGAGGACTTTGAGGCTGTGTATAGGCTGCACCGCCTTAGTGCCTATATATACTATTCTTGTTTTAATATTCTATGAGTAACCTCTTGAGAAAAAAAGAAAGCTAAGAGCATAAGAGCTTTCCTATGCATCCTTGTTTAATGCAGAATTCTGTAATTTCTGCTGTTATGACCTTAAACATGATGTACTTGATTCTTGAATGTCTTTTAAGCAAGTTATATTGCTAAATCCTTAATAATGTGAGTCCAGGCAACGAGTTTATCTTAAAACTTATTAAACTGTAAAGAATGAAATCTAGGATGAAAGGAGTGGGAGGACCTTGTCGAATTGGAAATTCCTATGTCTTTAATCATGTATAGATGAATACATGCTATGGTTTTCAATTTATTGGTCATGTTTGTGTAGATGATGAGGCTTTTGTTGATTTTATATTGCTTTTACCTGTACCTATCTTGAATTAGGTGGCAGTGTCTTGATCTCTCATGAATAAAATTTTCCTTGTAAATAATTTCTCTCTGGACTCTTCTTTCTTTGGGTTTTGAAACTATGGTATTTCTTTTGCAGAGTTCTAATCGCATACGATAATGGATTGATATTTCTATGGGATGTTTCTGAAGCTCAAATTTCTTTTGTCAGAGGTGGCAATGATCTTCAATTGAAAGATGGAGTCAATCCTCCAAGGGAAGCGAATGCTAACTTTTTAGAAGACGGATCTGAATATAATCTACGAGACAAGGAGATTAGTTGTCTTTGTTGGGCATCTTCTGATGGATCCATTCTTGCAGTAGGATACATAGATGGAGATATCTTGTTTTGGAACACATCCTATGCTGCCTCTACAAAGCGACAAAAAACTGGGTCGAGCAAGAATATAGTTAAGCTACAGTTGTCAACTACTGAGCGGAGACTGCCTGTTATCGTCTTACATTGGTCAAGAAGTAATAAATCCTGTAGCAGCAATGGTCAACTATTTATATATGGAGGTGATGAAATAGGATCTGAAGAAGTTCTTACGGTATGTTTTGACTGTTTGTTTAGCGTAGTTTAACATGTTTTAAGTTTATAAACCTTTTATGTCTAATGCTTCAGAAACATGTAAGATTTTCATTAATATTTTAATTTGTTCTGGAAGAATGAATAGTGTTTCCACAAACAAAAATAATTTGCCAAGGAGAGTTGATGATGAAATAAAATTAACAAATCCAAACTTTCATGTGTTTAGTTTTCCGTATTGATTTCTTTTCTGTTTCTGTTAGTTTTTCCTTTTTTTGTTCTGTTTCTTGAATTTTTTCGATAATAAAATGTACATATTTTTTTTGTATGCTGATAGGACTAATGTTGGGTTCTTACCACTAGTCATCTGCTAAGCATGGAATTTAATTGAGCGGTGTTCCTGTCTATTTTGAACATACACATTTATATTCGACCAATAATCATGGAAGGTGCTCATTATTGCAGATTCTAAGTCTTGAATGGTCATCTGGAATGGATGTTTTAAAATGTGTTGGTCGTGTGGACCTTATTCTCAGTGGCTCCTTTGCAGATATGATTTTGTTACCCAACACTGGAGCAACTGAGGATAATCACCAAGCTACTCTTTTTGTATTGACAAACCCTGGACAACTTCATCTTTGTGATGACAGTAGCTTGTCTGCCTTACTTTCACAGCAAGAGAGAAAACGATCTGTCTGTACTATGGAGTTTCCAGCTGTAATTCCAACAGCTGATCCATCAGTTACTGTGGCAAAGTTCAGTATCTTACCTGCAGGTGGGAACTCATCAAAAGGTCTCTCAGAGGTATTGTTTTCTTTTGAACACGAGGAATTAGATGCTCTTCGTTTTGTTCTCTGTTAATTATATATCATTTACTCGTAATTGTTGTTATTAATCAGATAGCCTCGACGACGATACTTCGCTCAACATTGACTCTGCCTGGTGTTAAGAAGTGGCCCCTTACTGGGGGTGTGCTCAATCACTCTGCCATTAAAGAAAACAGTATAGAGAGATTGTATATAGCAGGTTACCAAGATGGATCGGTTCGGATGTGGGATGCTACATATCCAGTTCTATTTCTTACCTGTGTTGTAGAAGCCGAGGTTGGATTTCCACCCGTCATCTGTCCTTGTACATACAATGAATGTCATTTCAACTAATGCTGAAGGATTTCTTCAAATTGTCAGGTGCAAGGTATAAAGGTGGCTGGTTTGGGTACTCCAGTAACAGCTTTGAACTTCTGCTTCATCAGTTTAATTTTGGCTATTGGCAACGAATGTGGTTTGGTCAGAATTTATTTTCAAATCATTATTTTATTATTTGTTCATGCATGATCAAGTGTCATATATAGTTTCCTATCCCCTTGAACTTTGCAGGTTTGTATTTACGATCTAAATTGCAGTTTGGAGAAGACATGCTTTTGCTATGTTGGAGAAAGCAAACATGAAGGTGAGTCTAGACAGTCATTTTAGAATGTTACCTTCTCTTTAGCAGGTGGATTCAACATTGGGACATAGTATTAGAGTTTCACTTTGGCATGAATTATCAAGTGTCATCTCGTACGTGTTCTATCTTGTATGATTTTCGATGATGCTCATGCTTCATTATGTTTCAAGTTATGAAAAATTATTAGTATTTTCACAAATAAATAAGAAAAAAAATCAAGATCGTAAAACATCATGCAGACAGCAGAATTGTACATAATATGAGGAGGTTAACATTTTTGGTTAAAATGGAGCTTTTGGCAACAAGAATTGCCCATTTCTGTGACAGTGACATCAGCTTCTAATGCTTGCTGTATCTCAGTGCAGGCTAGTTTCCAACAAGAGTTACCCCTTAACCACATAAACATGCTTTAGTTTAAACCCTGAGATATTCTATAGAGTCATTATAAAATTTTATTTAATTATTTTTCTTGAAATAAAAAATTTTATTTAATTATATTAAGCTTGTTTTGCAGTTTATCATTTGCCTCAACATAAAGGACCATCATATAGAAGTATTTTTGGTCTTACGAATTCCCCAGTTCAAGCGTTAGAATTTTCAAATAATGGAGCAAAGCTTGCTGTGGGATTTGAATGTGGTCGTGTAAGTAACATCTAGTAAGTTGTTTAATTCACATCTGCTTCTCTTGGTATGATATGTAAGTACAAGATGTCCCTTCCAGCTTTCTCTATGTAGACTCATTCTTATATCTGATGCTTTCACAACAGATAGCCATGCTTGATGTGAATTCATCATCAATATTATTCTTTTCTGGCTGTGGTACAAGTACACCTATCATGTCGATTACCTGGAAAAATAACATTCCAAAAAGCTTAGAAAATTCGGGAAAACAATTTCCAGACAACTCTGCAGCGGATGCAATGTTTGTCTTAACTAAGGATGCTAGTGTTACCATTATTGACCCTTGTTCTGGTAGCATGATGAGCTCTCGTCCATTGCATCAGAAGAAAGAAATGCTTGCTATTTCAATGTATATTATAGGTTAGCATTATTTTAATTGAGGTAATTAATCTGACTTTGAAGAAGAATGTCAAACCTGAACTTTTCTTTCTTTTTTTTGGGATTCCAGAGGGCAATACTTCTCTTGAAAGTGATCCACATGAAAAAGGACATCATTTCTCTTCAGAAACTGAGGATGGTGACAGATCAGCAGATGGAGTAATTTTAATATGTTGCGAGGACCAACTGCGCTTGCATTCTATAAAATCTGTGATACTGGTACCTCTGTTGCCTTTGTTTTTCCTTTTTCTTTTTTCTTTTTCATTTGCTCCATTGTTATGGTGCTGTATGTTGTGTAATTTCTGAGGTTATTTCTTAAAATTATTGTTGTATATTATGATAAAAGAAATACAGCAATATATAGGAGTAGGATTACACCAAGAAACCATAACTTTCTATCCTTAATTTGGAAATATAAGGGTAGACTTTGGGAGGAAATCTTGGAGGATCTGGTTATTGAATAACTGAATCCCCATTATTTCTGGAGACAACTAAATACACGATTCCACGGAATTCCTCATCATTATCACTTTCTTAATCTAGAATCCTACACTCCTCAAGCTGGGTTGTAAATATTGAACATTTACAGCTTGCTTCTAAGTTCTTCAAGGATGGTTCTTGAAAGGTTTTAGTGAGTGTGTTAATACTTTGATTTTATAGGTGTATAGATTACTTGAATTACCGAATTTTCAATTTTTTTAAAAATAAAATTGTTATAAATTATCCTAGAAGCTTATATTGATACAACTCATATAGGTTAAGTTGTAAATAGAAGGTCTACCATTAGATATTGTACTTTTCTTGGGGGTAATTTAATCATCTGGAGAAGAAGCAAAATGTAGTTGTAAGATTAAGTGCAAAATCAGAATTTCTGGACAATGGCATAAGGGGTATGTGAACTTATAATGGATATAAAGAATTTTGAAAAATCTTAGAATCAAGTAGAAAAATCCTATACGTGTATACTGTGACAACAAATAGGCCACAAACATCAGTCACAATCCAGTGTAACACAAATAAACTAAGTACATCAAGATCGATAGATATTTTATTAAAGAAAAACTTAATAGTGGTCTAATATGTACCTCATACATGTCTATTAATTCTCAACTGACAGATGTCTTAACTAAAAGTTTAACTAATCCAACATTTCAAGCTCTTATTGGCAAGTTAGGGATAGACAATATCTATTCTCTAACTTGAGAGGGAGTGTTAAAGAAAGGGAAATTAGTTAAAAGGTATAATTACCATTATACCTTTTAGAATTAATTGGAATTTATTATTTCTTTTCTTTTCTGTCCTACAAAATTTGTATATAGTCTGTAATATTTAATAAAATACATCAAATTATTCTTAATAGGAATATAAGAGGAGAACATGAGAAATCGAACTACCTCTAAGAGTTGCAAATTTTTTCTTGCAACTCTGTCAATTTTTTCTTGCAACTCTGTCTTGTTGCAGAGTGTCAATACATGAGCTTATGTGAATTATACTCTAATTTAGGAGATAGGTTCCAATGGCATATTTAAAAGATTTTTTGGCATTATCAATTTTGCGAGCTTGAATTTTGGTTTAGAATTGAGTTTGTATTAAAGTATTTAAGTTTTGGAAGATTTGGCCAATCTTAATTTCTTCTCATAAGAAATGCCTAAATTAGCCTAGTATGATCATTAATAAATGAGAAACACCACTTTGAACCCATTATATTTTTCATTCTTGATGGACCTTATACATCATTGTGAATTAATGCAAACAAATGAGAAGGTTTATATGTGAAATTGAGATAAGTGACATATGTGTGTTTATAGAGTTGACACAATTCACAACTGAAAGGTTTTGAATTCTTATTGATGAAT